ATTATTATTTATTTTTTCCTTATGTGATATAATCTAAATTTAGTTATTAGATTTTTAAATTCAAACATTTAAAGAAAAAGACCACGAACAAATTTTTTCGTTAAAATTTGGTTATTAGATTTTTAAATTCAAACATTTAAAGAAAAAGACCACGAGCTGATTTTTTCGTTACATTTCATTTTATCTTAACTTCCATATAATCACATTCCTAACAAATTAATTAGTATAATATTTTTTATCCACATTTATATAATCGGGTTTCTTAAAATATAATTAATATAATATTTTAATTTGTATAACTTGATTTATCTCGTTAACAAACTTGCCAAATATTTTTTAAATTAAAAAAAAAAAAAAATTGGATGATTTTTATTTGTAAAAAAATAAAAAATATTTTTACTTTAATGTCTGGATTCTTTCCATTATTTTTTGTACATTAACAATCATATATTGGATAATTGATTTAAAAAAAAATCTAAAGTGTAAGGTTTAATAATATTCCCTAAATAAAAAATATTTTATAAAGAGTAGTGGTTAATAATATGTATATTTAATTGTTTGTATTTATTTTATTTCCATAATAGATGAGATGTAAAAAATATAAAGACTTATATTTAAAATAAAGTCTAAAAAATATTTAGAATATGAGCTCCTCCGTTGCATATTCACTAGTTTATATGTATAGAAACACAAACATTTGTTATGTGTGAAATATGAATGTGGGTTGAAGATCGTAAAAAGTCGATTAATTTGGTTTTTACTACATATGAATAGTTAGTAACAAAAAATTATTAAATTTTTAAATATATTTATATGTTAATTTGACCACGTGTTGTATAATTTTGAAAATATATCCATTGACTGTAAAGAGCTCATAAACAAATATATACCATGAATTGACAAGTAACTAGATAACAAATGAAGCATGATTTTTAGTAAAGTATATTGATTTTTCGGTTGATATAAGTCCCAAGAGAGTGTGCAAATTGTATACATATGTTGTTCAATTTCAATCGAGTTTTTCATATTGGCAAAAAAATAAAAGTAAAAATAGAAAGTAAAAATGAAAGTGTATATGTGCAAATTGTATACAAATTATTTGATTTTGATCAACTTTTTCATACTTCAAAATAAAATATAATCACCACATAAATTTTAAATAAATATGTTATGCCGGAGTTATTTACAAACTAAGTTCTCGAAAAACTAACCAAAACTCTAAATTTATAAACTATTTTAAATATTAATAGACCCTTTACAAATAGAATCGAATTTCATGCGAATTTTGAATAGGAAATTTGTACCATAAATAATTTGAAATTAACAAATCAGATATATTAAACACGTGAAGATCAAAAAGTCCATTCATAATTTGAATTTAAATTGGATTACCAAAAGAAGTAAGTCAGAGGCTTTGATCCATTTTTGTAATCAACTTTCGATTCAATATATATATAGATATAGACCACACAATGTGTACAAATTTATATCACAAAGGGATCAGTTGATGATACAATGAACTTTTGAGTTAATGAACTTTTGAGTTAAAATGTGAAGGAGTTGTTTGCAATTTCAGAATATAAATGGATTTCTTGCAAATTAGACTAAACCTCAGGGGCAACAGATTGCAGAGCCGTTTGCAACTTCAGAGGCTTTGATCCATTTTTGTAATCAACTTTCGATTCAATATATATATAGATATAGAGCACACAATGTGTACAAATTTATATCACAAAGGGATCAGTTGATGATACAATGAACTTTTGAGTTAATGAACTTTTGAGTTAAAATGTGAAGGAGTTGTTTGCAATTTCAGAATATAAATGGATTTCTTGCAAATTAGACTAAACCTCAGGGGCAACAGATTGCAGAGCCGTTTGCAACTCATTCCGATCCCTACTTGCACTGTTACGTGACGAATAAACCACAGGCAAGTAAGCAACCCTCCCATGCATTTGTAGGCCAAAGAAGCAGCCATTTGTAGACAAACACTCATTTTTTCGAGCTCTTGCTACGGTTAAACGACCACCCTCTTTAGATACAAGGATAACCAAAAAATAACAATAAAATAAAAAAGAAAAAAGTCGAGGTCCGATTTGAAGATGGTTACGAGAGGCCTCCGAGAGCGCTTTGCTCTATCAAGCCAAGCATCAGGGGGCTTATCGACTTCGATGACTTCAAAGAGCCACCCCCTACAACTGCCCACTGGCACACTGGCACACGGGGGCTTATCGACTTCGATGACTTCAAAGAGCCACCCCCTACAACTGCCCACTGGCACACCACACAACCACCTTTCTACCTCCCGTCGCCTTGATGCCCCCGCATGGGTCACAGGTCCCCGCAACTGGACCCGGCAAACATCGTGCTCGGGCAGCTGCTTTATAAACAATAATGTTTATTGTTCTTTTCTCGATGTGGGGCCCTTTTTTTTTTGTTTGAGAACCGAGATCTGTTCGGCTCATGGCTTGTCTACTTTGTCTTTTTATGACATCTGGCGGTATTATAGAGTAGCGCTATCAGGTTCGGGGTGTTAAATTAA